AAAAAAAGAATATGTAATAAACAAGAGATCGCCCATTCTAATTTATCATTTTCCTACCCACCCACCTACCCCTACACCCCCCCCCCCCCCCTACCCCCAAAAAAAAGGAAAATCCCCAAACACCATGACCCTATCTACTTCAGTCATAAGATGATAAGAGCAAATTACAAAGATCTTGAATAAGTCACAAAGATGTTTTATAGGTCACTATAAGTCTATAAGATAGTACTTGCTTTGAGAAAATATTCATGAAAAAGAAAGCTTTTGATGAATATCAGATAGTCCAGGAGATTTTCAGCTCTTCAATGAGTAGAAGAGCCACCTTAAGCAATTTCATATTGTGGCTGCTACAACCACTTCTGTCCTAAGAATTAACAAGGGACTCCAGAGTAAATTCAAATTTGGCAATAGTCTCTACACTCCTACTCGACATGTGATTTGATCACTATCCCCATAGTCTTTGACACTGATATTAAGCTATACATATTTTTTCTTTCTTTAAGACAATGGTGTTTGGACCAGTTTGCGCGCACCTCGACTATTTCCCTAGGTACTTGCTATCTCCCACAGCACATGTACCGAGCAACTCTGCCCACCAAGGCTTAGACTATACCCATTCTAGCATTCAAAAGCATTTTAACATTTGTGGCTACTCTAGAAAAATTTCCTTATTACCTACGGCTCTATACATCACATACAAATTCCTTAATATCTACTCTGCTGAATCCCCGATAATTCGAAGACTAAGTCACCAAAGACTCCAGGCCCTAACCGAAAACCAAAAAGAGCCACTGAAGAAGTAACATTCTCAGCATAACACAAAACTCATTTGATGAAGCCGGTCACTTTATCTTCCAACTTCCAAGTCATGCCACTATAGCATAGTCATGCGGACATCACTTGTAAGGTAATATATTTACACTTTACACGATTATTTTCCAGAATGCCATTTGATATGCAATCAGCAAGTAAGAAAACACTAGTTTTGCTTAACCCTATATAATTATTATCAAGTATCCCTATATGGAGAAACAAAGTGAAAGAATATCAATCAATCAATTATGTCTCAATCATAACTAATTGGAGTGGCCAATCCGTAATAACACCAACTAAATTTAAGTGCCAAATCTACTTCATTCAAAAAAAAAAAAAAAAAAAGTGCCAAAATCCACTTCATGGTTGTACCTCAGGCAAAAATTTACCCGCACCCAATATTTAGACCAGAGTAATAAATGCGAGCCATTTGACTTTTATACACACAATCGCTTAATCATGGTTAAGTTATGTGTATTCTCGCTTTAGTTTTTAGCTGCTAAGGTTAAATTATATAATTTGGTATAAACACTAAGGGGTTGTTTGGTTTGCCTTATTTATACATTAATTCATGTATAACCATGTATAAAATCCACCCACAATGTTTGGTTGATGTTTTGAATTCCATATAAAATCTTGCACAACTAATACAATATTTGATTAGGTTTTTTTCTTTTTTTATACCCGTATAAAATAATACTTGTTATACAATAATGATGAAAATTTTTGTATTATTTTATGCAGGATAGAATATGGAATAAGAATACGTGTATTAAATAATACATGGATTAAACCAATTAAGTGACAAAAATACCCTCATGCATGCTTCTGAATACTTTTGTTTTATACTGATCAACACTTCTAATTCATTTCTTTTCCTTTCTAGTGCTTTTAGGATTTCATAGGACACAAAATCATAGTAAATAGTACATATAGGAAAAATCATATTACTGTTGTTTTCCATACTGAAACATGTTCGCATATCGGTCATAGATCAAAATGAATCTGGACATCTGTTGGATTGAAGTGTTAAACTTCATTAATCACTATTATAAATAACACCATTATTTTTTTCATGGCAGTACACATATTAAAATTGAGTAAATTGATAAGGTGTTGCAATAATGCCCAAGGCAGGTTTTATTTCAGTTGCCAAACAACTCAAACCTCCAAAAAGAAATAATTCCTATATTTTAATTCCAGCATAACTATGCCCCGCATAATTAAATCCTTCATAACTAATACCTGCACAATTAATCCCTTCATAACTAATACCTGCATAATTAGTCCAACATAACTCATCTCCGAACAAACAACCCCAAAGTGCAAATATATTTACCATGTACTTCTTACACTACAGTTACTTCATTTCAAAATATAACTGTACTTCTTATACTACAGTTACTTCATTTCAAGATATAACTTTCAGGCATTTTCAGTGGACGTAAATGAAAGTTGGAACTGGAAAAAGGTGAATTCAAATAGAGACAATTGAAATACCAATCGTAATCTTAGGGATAGGATCATTGCCGGCAGCTTGAGCTCGTTCCGTGGCTTCATTTAACAGCTGCTTAACCTGAGCAAGCCGCGCCGGCGACTTCTTTCCATCGGCGGCACCGCCGTCAGATGCCGCCGCGCACCTGACGGGACTATAGGAGATTGTGCGTAGTAAAAGACGATGACTCACAACAAGGCTCGTCGCCGGAAATGGCGCCGGCGAGATGTGGATGAATCGAACAGTTGACAACTGTATTGACGGACGGAAAATTTCCCGGACGAGAAAGTTTGTGGTGGTTCTGATCGATGCCATTTTTGGGTTTGAACATTACAGCCCGGCCCTATAATCGGTTTATTAGAAGCCCACTATATATTTGTTCATTTTTTCGGTTGAAATTAAAAAAAAAAGTCAAATTTATAAGTGGTAATTATAAAATAGCCACCATTTTAAAAGTAATCAAAATTTAGTTATTTTTTATATAAAGATAATTTGAACGAAAATACTATTCACTATCTGAAAAATATTCCAGTATAATATACTGGAGTTCCAGCATAATATACTGGTCCAGCATAATATGCTGGAAGTTCATATATATATGCTTCAATCTCCAATATATTATGCTGAGACTTTCCGTGTTGCAGCAAAATAGTAGTTATTTTTCAATTACCAATGCGAAAACTGGCTAGCCCGTGCTATTTTCACCATTCTTTCAATTATACAAATTTCTAAAAAAAAAAAAAAATTGTGGCCAATTTTGGAGTAAAATACTTGCTCTCTATTTTTTTCTTTTTCTGTGAAAAGACAGGAAGCCGATTTTCATCCAGAAATATTCTTATCCCTGTAAGTACTGAATATGTAAGAGTTCATGTAAATGATACTGAACTTTTTTCGGACAGATAAATACAACTCATGCATATACATTGCAACTAGGTGGCCGATGTTTAACTTTTCAAAGTTGTATATACTCATATTGAACATCCAACTCCAAATAGGTTTTCGAAATTGCTATTCAGTTTTTTTTTTTTAAAATGCTCAAGATCCAATCTAAATATTAGTTCAACAAACCAAATCTATTTGGATGGTGAAAATAAAATTATTAAGATAATACACCATCACTGAACAAGCTTAAATAAGCGGGTTTAAATCTTTAATCTGATTTTTGTGAGAAATTTGGAGCGAGTGTTATTTAGACTTGTTAGAAATAGTATAAGGAGGTTGTATATAAAATTTGAAGTCATTTAATGGACCTTTGGACTAGTTTTGAACAACAATTGCAACTGAAAATCGTGAAAGAAATTTGTCTACAGACGTTTGTATAAAGGTGTATAAAAGCATATAATAGTGTATAAGAGGTGTTTACATGCATATACTAGACAAAATTATACACTATTATACAAAAACTGACTTCGTCTTCTTCCTTGATTCTCTTATGAAATTTAACTCAAACTTCGTTCAAATCTACACCAAATCACTTCAAATGTAAGTTTTGGACTCCTCTTGATATTTCCAATTGATTAGAACAACACTCAGTCGAAACAACAAACAAAACTCGAAAACCAAATTCTGAAATTTAACTCAAATCTACTCCAAATTACTTTAAATTTAAGTTTCAAAATGTTCTTAATTTTTTCGATCGATTGGAACAACATCAAATCCAAATACCTAAAGTAGTAAAAGATTAAAATCAGTTTAACATTTTTGCAATGTTTATGCAGATTAAAAAATAGGAGGAACGTAAAGTGTGTGCCCAATCACGGGATCACCAATCATGACAAACGTAGATCATTATTGGTGTAACGATAATTTAGTTACTCAAAATTAAATTTCTTATTCATGGACAAATCGTTTAGAACTTTTCTCGCTTCAATTTTGAAAAGATAAATATAAAGATGACCATAACATATGAATATGGTAGCGTCTAGTGTTAATAATACAAAGACATGCTCATATTCTTCTGTATCATTTTGATTTTTGAATACAGTGCTTGCATAATTATATGGAGTCAACAATTGATGAACTACATATTAAAGTATGTTTTTGTATGAAAGAAGAAAGAAAAGAAAAAAACATTAAAAGTATGTTTTTAACGTGGGGCTAAGGAACGAAAAAAGAATTTCAAGTTATATACAAAGTGGATTAAACTAGGTAAGAAGCTAAAATATGAGCTAATCTTGGTAGCATTATTATCCCAACTAATAAATACAGTAATTTTGTCTTTATTTATTTACCACACTTAATTTATAGGATAAACCTGTTCGCCATATATTTTACAGAAAAAACACAAAATTCTCAACCTTCAGCATGCAATTGCAAACAAACTCTTGCGCCGTGCCATGTTATGGTATTAATAATTAGTTATGTTTTGTCTCAGCAACATTTATCTACATGCTTTACACGAATAAAAGTAACACCTACTTGAGTTTAGTCCCTTGCCAATGCTACTTGAAGTAATATTGAGTTTTCACGAAACGACTCATCAGATTCCAAATTATAGCCGAAATCGTTAAAAATCATAGCAATTGCTATAATCCGATAACAAAGATTACGCGTAACTTTGGCGAGACATCATTTTACCCCTTAAGAGTTAAGCCTACTCCATTTTACCCCTTAAGAGTTAAGCCTACTCGTGTTTCATGTCCACGGCTCAGCAGGTTACAGGCAGTTCAGAATTTCATATTAAAACGTGCAATAAGCAGAAATATACTATATTTATAAAGCTGCAAACGTATTCAACAGGGTCCCCATCGATCAAAACTATAAGCTACTAATATCAGGTGATCATGATCAAAATCCCTGACAAATCTCTTATACCATCCAGTGGGACTGGCCAGACATTACAACAGCTAGACAAGTCTGCTACTACAGCACTAGATGATGAGAACGATTAGGGTGCATAGATGTGCCGCCTCCTGAAAAAGAAGGCAGAATAGCAAAATACAAGTCGCTATACATGACTTGACATTGTGAAGCAGCACCCAAATTTTTTGGGGCAAATCGAATCCTTCAACGTTTCTTAGCTTTCTCCAGATTACTACCAGTAGTGACCCTAGAAGAACCCATCACGTTCCCAGCATCTGTTTTCAGCTTCCGTGAATGCATTGGATGGGATGGACCAGCTGCATTCTCCACTTCTGGTCCGAAGTTCCCTGAATGATGTGATCTCTCCGTCGAAGGAAGTGCCCATCCACCCTTATATGCACCATTCTGAGCAGTGCTCCCAGAGCCTAGAACAAAGAAGTTGTGACATGAGAATAACGGAACTCACAAATGGGCGGAGGGACTAATATGATACAACTCGTAAAGAAATTCAAGAGTCTGGCATTGCATATATTATGTGTCTGTTTCCACCAAAGGACGCGCCATCCAAAAGCAAACATCACCCTCGGTGACAGCACTATATCCAACCAAAAAGGGAATAAAAGAGAAGGGATGGCTATTTCTTTACAGAAAAGAATTAAGGGACATAATACAGACCTACAGAAACTCCCCCCCCCAAAAAAAAAAAAAAGCATTTCAGGAACTTACACACATGGGGATGGCATAAGATGTATAGATAAAAGAGTCCATAATGACAAAATTTCAGAAAATACAAAGTTGGGAGAGCAAACAGAGATGAAATAGTTGCATATCCTAGTCTACTTACCAGTATCACCTTGTATATTAAGCCCCCCATACATGACAGGTAGCTGATTTCTAGCTTTTCCTTTCCAGGCTTGTTCAAATCCAGCAAGTTCATCTACCAAAAAATACCTTTATTTAGAAGCAGTTCCTTGGAACCAACAAACGGGGACTCGAGTTTAGTAAGCACTTACTTTCATTAAGGTTGTGCAATGTCTGCATTGTGTCCACCCTACCATCTGAGTCGAGTTTCCGCAACACAGAATGACCCTATATTGACAAATTTCTATCAAGTTATTTTAAGCATAAAGAAAGAAGGGTCTTGCGGAATCAAGAAAATAGTGAATTCTATTACTGTCAGGGGAGAAAACCTACCTTATTCTGGATTCCCCTTGAGACCCTGTGACTTGCTCGACCAGTAGCTGAATTGGCTTCTTTACTTTCCTCAAATGTCAGCTGCAAAATCCAAATCAAATAATGAAAGATATGGCAAGGCCATAAAAAACTCAAGCTCTATAGTCCTATAACTGCTTATAGTCGAAAATCACTTACTCCATCACTTCCGGTCCTCCTGGTTTTGGAAGAAGTATAATAGGTCCCATTTGCACCACCATAAGACACAGTGGAACTCTGAAAGCTAAAGCTACGAACTTGAGGCTGCTGTTCATTATTTATTCTCTGGATATCATTCTGGAATACCATTTGCTTACTCTTTCTCTCTGCAAAAGCAAATATTATTAATCAATCAGTACCTATAAGACAGAGAAAGTTACAACCCTCGAGATTAAATTGAACACTAGGCATATAATCATCATGGAATGTTCACCTCCAGCTTCATCATCTGGATATTCAACAGAAGGCTCAGTGCTTGCCCTAGCATGCTTTCTCGTGTTCTGTTTCTTCTCTTTTGCAATTTCCTTTTCCTCTTTCTCATCATCAGAGTCCAACTCCTCAATAACTGGACCCCTAGACCTAGGCTGCTGGTAGGGGACAGACGGCTGTTGTTCTAGAAATCCAGTCATGTGCGAGTCCATGAACGGGCCTCCGATAGAACCAAAAGGGGATGACTGCGAGCCCATGAAAGGGCCTCCGCCAGGACCAAAAGGGGATGATTCAAATATGCCTCCAAATGGGCGGGTGAAAAAAGGATCATCAAATGGGTCCCTGCCACCAAAAAAACTAGATACTAAACTCCTCTGACCTCCGAATCCACCAAAACCACTAAAACTACCAAAAGGGCCACCAAAATTGGAAAATGGGTCTCTTCCTCCCTGCATTTTCAGCTTCTAGGCCTGAAAATTAAACAAAGGCGGCTTTCCTCAGCACAATTACTATACAAAAGAAGGTGGAACTATCAATTACATACAAGTATAAAAGCAAAGAAAACAATTACCATAACAATAACCCAGGCTTCAAAAGAACATACACTCAATAGTTTAGTGTCCTCCCCTTCATATAGCCATATCATCTATTCCTTGCTACTTTACTCAAACAGATGTCAACTTTTTGACTGTTGCAACAGAGTGTATGCTGCTAAATATATGCAAGATATTCTTACATGTAAACTGTATTCTATAGAGTGACCAGATACGTTGGTACACTATGCATGAACATCCTTTATAGTGTTTCATTTCTATAACCCCAATAGTAGATTATCAAATCCAAAAGAAATAATCTTCCAACTCATTTTTCTTCTTTTAGAAGCAAATAGATATTAGACATTTGTCAGCGAGTGCAGGATATGAAGACACAATTATAAGGTGTTGATCCTCTCTTAGCAGTATAGGTAATACAACACAAGCTAGCACGAAGGACGCCTTCCCAATTGGTCAATCAATAAACCAACGGCACCTCAATCTCAACTGTGGCCAACAATATAATCGTCTATATAATCTGCTCCATTCAAGCTTATTTAATACCAAGATTGCTAAGTAGTTTCTTGTTAAGCACATTCAAGGTTCTACAGAACCAAAGTTCACTAAATTTCATGGTTATCCCTTTTCGGACCTAAAATAAGTGCAACAACAACAACAACAACTAAACCCCAAATTCAGCTAGTTGATATTGTTTACTAAATTCAGCTAGTTGATATTGTTTATTATGAACCCTTTGCTTCCATCGTGTTCTATGTTTGCTAAACTGTATTGACTCCTTGTCCTCTTGGTGCAATCGTTCCCATTTAATTGCACATGAGGCTCTCTCATTTTATCTTTATGTGTGCTAACTGCATCCTCTTAATGATGTGATCTCCTCTAATCCGATAATACACGACTGTGCTCGTCTTAACATATTGTCCCAATAAAATTCATCTTGTGGATGGCTTCATCGTATTGTAGATCATTCCTGTATGACTCCCAACTCTAACCATCCTATTTCAATCTTAGGAGCTACTTCCAATCAATTATACAATTCTCCTGAAAGGTAAAAGATATATCAATTGTCTGCATTTAGCACTACACTCCCCTTCACTCTCACTTCTCCTTTCATTCTTCCTATGGCAAGCTAGACATCTGTGCAAACTCAACTTGCATTACATACAATCCGTCTTATTTCTAGATACCGTAACACCCTTACCTCCTCGAGTACTTCTCCCTATTTCCAGCTTTTTCTTAACTTCCTAGTTGGTGTTATCAATTAATATCATCTGTCCTAGTATCTAGCCAAAAAGTTACTAACTTCATCAAATCCTCTAGTAAATTGCTTACAACTAACAAACACGAAAAATGTCAAACTCCAGAACAAAGTGGCTGCACCACCTACAATGCGTATACCAACATTCACTCTCTCTCCCTCACACACACAAAGAAGGGGGGGGGGGGGTTCCTCCCTGCTGGTAGAGATTATTAATCAACAAACATGCCCAAAGAATAAACAATAAAAAAGCAAAAACATTAATAAGAAGGACATCATGCAAGAAAAATAAGAGAAAATAAAGAAAGTAATGGAGCTAATTGTACGAGTCAATCAACAAAATCCTGCATCTCTATGATCACACAAGTGAGAGATTATCAATTTATCGTTCATTTTCATATTTCAATTCAAGCAAATTGCCAAGCATAAAAACCATCAACAAACCCTAAGACAACAATCGTCGTAAAATAACAAAAGAAAATTGAGAATTCCGACTATCAAAATTATCATCAATGCTGAAATTAAACAAAAAAGCAACTTTTTAACAGTAAATGCAAGCAAACTAAACCCTAAAAATAGAAATTCTGAAACCCTAAACAGAAAATTGAAGGAGAGCTACCTGGGGAAACTAGTGTTTAACAAAATGTTACAGGAAAATTGAGTGGGATCAGAAGGAATTAATCCGCTATATTGAGGAGGATCCTTTCCACTTTAAGATATTTGGATGGGAAAATATAGAATTACGGATATCAGATTTTCGTTTAACTGCTTAATATCGTAAATTAGCCCACTGTTTCGGGAGGAATGTTCTAGTACGTGCGAGCACAAATATTCCGTATGAGGCCAACTTTAATATTGGGCTGGGCTGGGCTGGAAAAAATCAGAAATAAACTAATTTATAACTATTAATTAAAAATTAGCCATACTTCAAAATTAATTGAAAGTTAGTTACTTTTCATGTAAAAATAAAATTTGAACAAAAATACTCTTAAAAATTAAGAAAAAATCCAGCATAATATGTTCGTTTGAATTTTTTTATATATGACATTCCAACATAATATATTAAAATTCATAATGTGATGGAGTTCCAACATAATATGTTCGACGTTTGTACGCAAGAGTTTCATAATCCAGCATATTATGCTGAAATTCTCCGTGTTAGCCAATGTATTTTTGTTCAGGTTTTATATGGTGACTACTTTTTAATGACTTTATACACTAGCTATTTTTCAATAACCAACCGTTAAAATGACTACGAATGCCATTTTGACAGCGAAATCGTCAAAAGGTGATTTGCACAATAGGATGACTCAGTGTTACAACTTACACATTTTAACGTAAAAGGCTTTTTTATGCAAGATGAGCATGGTTCTAAAACATGGGTCAAGTTGGGCGGGTTGGACTATGACCATTGTTTAGCCCATCTTGACCTAGCCCATCCTAGCCCAAGTATACTTTGGGCTGGGTTGAGCAATGGCCCATTTATTGATCTAACCCATCTTGACCCGCTCAAAATTCAGCCCAATCCGCCCATTTGCCACTAGGGGTATTCGTCGGTCAGTACGGTACGGTATTTTGATATTTCGGTGCTGTATTTTCGGTATCCGGTTTCTTAAAATCCTACACCAATACCGTACCTAATTCTATTCGGTATGGTTCAGTTTTTCTCCTTTCGGTTTTGGTTTATTCGGTTCGGTAACTTCGGTTTATTCGGTTTGAATACTAACTAGTGCATAGAGCCATAGACTCTAATATTCTTAATTAAAGTACTCAAAAATACAAAAACTGAAAAATGTTTGTTGACAAAAGTTTTGTCCAAAACTAGTAAATATCAACCCAAATAGAGAAAATTGTACGTAAAAGAATATTTGAAAATTAGAAACGTCTTGTTAATTGATGAACTTAGAGAATAAATGAAAGTAAAATTTTAGATATTTTATATTTATGCTATAATTGATAATATATGTTTTGTGTAATATAATATATATTTCGGCACGGTATCGGTATTTTGGTATTTTATTTTAAAATACCAAATACTGTACCTAATACCAATTTTTTTTAAAATTCAAACCAAATACCAAAATACCGTATACCAAATACCAAAATTTTCGATTTAAATACGATAATTTAATATTTACCAAATTATACACAACCCTATTTGCCACCCCTAGTGAAGACCACTGTAACATGAAAGACTTTTTACACTTCATCAAATTTAGCCCCTCGAGCTAAACTTTAGGACAAAGTAAGTTACCTATAAAAAAATTATGGTCAAAATTTTAACCCTCTAGGCTAAAGTATATAAAAGGTGGCCTCAAGTAAGGCTATTTATGCTAATTGAGCTCTGAAATCGCGCTTCTTTATCTGCGCCCAGTGCCACAAAAATCCTTCTTCTCCCTCACAAAAGGGCGAACAAACAATTCAAATCGAAATTCCACCGAAATCCATTTCAAATCTTCAGGGATGGATAGATCCATGGTGCAAGAGGTATGTAAATATCACATGTATTTTTTATTTCAGAGATCTTGTTACGCTCATCTGCGATTTGTCGAGTGAAATGGTTTTCCTGTGTTAAAGAATTATTAATTAGTTGCTTTAAAGCCTGTTACAAGATTAAAATTTGCTGTATTAATTTGGGACGAAAATCTTGAAACTATTACATGATCTGATTTTGGCTCAATTGGTCTGGCTCAGGTCAACTGTCTGAATAAATTATTGATAACTTGTTTGGCATGTATCTCCCATTTCTTTAGTTCTCGCAAAGGTAGAAAAAAATTAACCAAATCCGATATTGAGTCTTTATTTATTTCTTTTCCTTTTCTTTTTGTGGCTGTTTGTACCCTTTTCCTCCATTTTAGAGCGAGTGAAGGCATTGGGAGTTCAAGGTTTGGTAGCGGCTGAATGCTTTAATTTTTCTAATATAACAAACAACTTTATAATCAATCAAGAATTGAGATTATGGAGTGTCTAACAAAGTAGATGTATATACTTGACATGAATATATATTTAAGTATTTTTGGAAAGAGAGCGGATCTTTGAATTTTATAGTTTATTGTTTCTAAATAATCGGTTATGTATTTGCATTCGCTACCTGCATAACTGTTTAAGCGATTGAACTTGATTTAATTCGCGGATGATAGGCTTGAGAAAGCAAGAAAGTAAGGAGAAATATTTTATTTATTTTTTAAATCTTAAGCCATCACCTAGTTTGGAGTGTCTTGGATGTTGGGGGTTTGGCTTGACCCTTACCAAGTATATAGAAGGTAAAGATGACAAAAGAAGGGGGCATAGACATGACCTTCCATATACACAAGGCTGTAATATAAGACAGTACTCTTTCAAAATTCATGGAAGAGCTAATCATCTACAGTTTATGGGTTTGTCTTTTTTTTTTTCTGGCTTAATTAATATGGATTTATTTGTTTATTTATAGATAGTGGAGAAGCAAGTGCTGACGGTAGCAAAGGCGGTAGAGGAGAAGCTGGACGATGAATTACATGCTCTAGAGCGGCTAGATCTTGATGATTTGGAGGTCTTGAGAGAACGGAGGTTGAAGCAGATGAAGAAAATGTCGGAGAAACGGAGCCGTTGGATATCTCTCGGACACGGTGAATACTCTGAGATCCCTACTGAGAAGGAATTTTTCTCTGTTGTTAAGGCTAGTGACCGCGTTGTCTGTCATTTCTACCGTGACAATTGGCCTTGCAAGGTATACTTTAATTCTACTTGTATCAGCATATATTTTCAGCTTTGACATATGCATTACCTCTTTATTGTTGAGACATAATTAATTAAGTAAATGAAAGTGTATTCGAACTTCAACATGGTACCAGAGAAGGCAGAGGTATTGGATTCAAATCTCACTAGCACCCATTATTTAAAAAAAAAAAAAAAAATTCCTGTGCTCGACCCATGAAAAAAAAAGAAAAGAATCAGCCCCCTACGTGAGGGGCGTGGTGAGAAAATGTCACACGCTTCAACACTTATAAATTTCTCATAGACATAGTTATGCTATTTAACTCTTTGATTCGGAGATAACATCTCATGTAACATATGGTGTCATAGCTCTAATTATCATTGGGGATTTAATGTGGATGCTTATCTGGTTGCTGCTTCATTGGAAATTAGCCTTATTGGATTTTCGTTATCTTAAAAAATCTCGTGCAATTGTTCTTATTTAATTCCTTATAATTGCATTGTAATTGTTTCTTTGACTGTGACGTTAATTTTGTTGGTGCCTGGTAGAACTGATATGCACTGATGGATGATAATTGTTAGGTTCAAGTGGTTCACTTAATAGTCAGAACTCTTTCTTGATCTGCAAACCAACGAGCATAATGTCACTAATAATAGTTGCTTCTAACCACTGAAGCCAATTGTATCAAAAATCTTTTAGAAGTTCTTGTGAACATTTATATTATATCCTTCTAACATAATAGAAATCCAGAGTAGGGTTGAGGAGAGGGTCATTGCAGAGGGGGAGAGAGAGACATAATAGGAGATGGAAGGAGAGGTTGAAAGCCGGCAGTTATTGATGGCTCGGAAAGAAAGCTGGGCTAGGTCTTCTTCCCTTAGAGAGGCTTATTCTCCTTTCCCGAGTTCTCAAATATTTTCTTTATTCTCTGTTTATTCTATTATTAGTTCTATTGTTCCGATCCGCTTGTGTTTCAGGAAATCAAACCGAAGTCAATTCATTCAACAATGCCCCCTCGGGACTCCTTTTCCTCAACCAATTCGGTTGTGTCAGCCCTGAGATTGGTCTAACATTTTGTTATGAGCTGGCTGGATTGAAGGTCAGATAGATTTGAGTTCAAGTGGGACAGCACCTTAGGAGAGTGTGGTGGGAAGTGGAATGAATTTTGAAGAGGAGGGAAAAGTAGGTGGTAGTGGATGTATGTGGGAGTGAGAAGAGAAGTGAAGCCATTCAAGCTTAATGCTGAAGTGTTAAATTAGACTTAGTTCTGACACCAATTTTTGAAGTTTAAGGACTAAATATATTTGGACGGCTAAGACTAGGGGTGTTCATGGTTCGGTTTTGATCGGGTTTTCCCTAAAAAGCAACCAAAATAAGTAAGTCGGTTTTTCAAATATTAGAACCAAACTAAACCAATTAAGTCGATTTTTCTCAATTCGGTTTATGTCGGTTTTTCGGTTTTTTCGGTTATTTGTCGGTTTTTTCTTAAACATAAGACATACACTACCAAACACATATTTCGGCGACCACATTTTCAATGTAACACTATCAAATCAATTGCCCTTTGAGAAATCTATTATTTACCAAGATATATTGATGATAATTGAATCAAATAGTGATGAATAATTTAAGGACTCAATTAAAAATATGTTATTTTTAACACGAAATGGATTCTTACACTAAACAAAAGAAAACTACCAATCAAACTAGAATGTAAAGGTAAAGAACTATATTAAAAGTGCAAACTATTAACATTTACCATAAATTTTTTGAAACTTTGTATAACAATATACATAGGTGTAATAATAAATTTGAAATAGCTACTCTTATAGTCGGTTTGGTTCGGTTTTTTTCTGATTAAAACCAAAACCAAACCAAATTTGATCTGTTTTTAAAATTCAAAACCAAAACCAAACCAAACCAAAAAGTATCGGTTTTTTTGGTCGGTTTGGTTTGGTTTTCGGTTTGGTTCGGTTTTTCGGGTTTTTATGAACACCCCTAGCTATGACAGACTTAGTTTGTCTTTTTGTACCCTCTTTGGGTAAGTGCAAAGACTGCGTTAGTTGCAAGTGAAGGGTGTTAGATGTCATTTCCTCAAATGGGTGG